CTCATACTGATATTCTGCACAAACTGTGCTGTTGTATTTGCTGTAAAGTGTCTTTACTGTAGGTTATTTTTTATTTTATGTACAGCACTTTGGCTCGACCAAAAATCGTTGAAAAATGTGCTATATAAATAAAACTTGATCTGATTTAATATGGACATAGGCCACCATATAAAAAGTGTGCAAATGTATTTAGTATCCTATCCATGTGAACATGTTTTAGGTGGGGGTGGACCTAACCTCCTCTAGGAGGGTCTGGGGGCATGTTCCCCCGGGAAGATTATTTTTAAAATATTGAAGTTCAATGCATCAATCTGGTGCACTTTGAGAGCAAAGTGAAGAGATCTATGGATAGCCTACATCTCTCAGCATCCATATGAAACAGAACTGTACACAGATTTACTTTTTCTTTATGGATATTTCACTAATCATTCCCCTTTTAAACTGTATTCTTGTGTTACTGTCCTATAGTATTTCATACCCGTTTTTCATTTATTCTCTCTTTAATAACTATAATGATCATATAAAGGTATTCCTCGCAAATACCGGTTTACATAAATGGTGACCAAACCGTTTGAGACCCACTGAGATAACTTACACTAAAGTGAACTATCTAAACACTGAGAGAGTCCTTACCTCACTGAGCTGACGTTATAAGATCCTCTCAGTCTGACAGGAGAGGACTCTCCTCCACCTTGGTGTAGAAACAGCCCTTTATATCCGTTAGCATAGCTAGCTAACCAGATGCTAACAACATTCCACGTTACCGCTCGCGCACTCACAAAATGCGCTCGTGCCACACACACACAGAGCTTGAATGAAACACAGAGACCCATGTACTTGTACTGTACTGTATATCATATTATTTTTGATGGCTTTACTGTATAATCAGTGTAACAGATTAACAGATCGCCACTGGGCTTTCATCTAAACACTCAGCCACGTAATGATAACAAAAAAAAGGTCGGGGGTCATTGGTCAAGCAACACACCAATCAGAGAGCAGCAGTGAGCACAGCTCAGGCTGTGTTTTATATTTGTATTCTTTATTTCTGATGTATTTCACACAAAAAACCTTTAGTAGAAACGTTTTCACGTTTTCACTTTCAACACCCTGCGTTGGGGGGGCACAGTGACTCATTTGGGGGGGCATGGCCCGCGAATGACCCCCCATGACGCCGACCCTGGGCCCACACCGTAACATCCAATAAGGGGCGGTTTCCTGAATATCAGCAGCCACAACACGACACAGCACTTAATGCAAGAGAGATGAAGAAAACAGTGAAAGGATGAATAAGGAGGAAGGACATGAAAATATGCGCCTGTATGTCTGGCTTTCCCTTTGCCTAGAGGGCATGTGTTGGTGGTCCAGCCATCAACCGTGGGTGTGTGTGTGACAGCTATAGCTCTGAGCATACAACCATTGTTTTCCCAGCAGCCTTTGGGGCAGTAATGAGAGTTTTCTCACAGCGTTGTGACCCGTGACTCAGAGGGGAGGATTGATGGAGGAGGAGGAGGCTGCTGCACTGCGGCACCATCAACCTCTAGGCCGCCCTTTTTAACGTTATCCTCATGACATCACTTCCTGTTGCTGCTGGCCGATAGCCCAGGGTTGGAGGAGTATCTGAGTTGTAGAAGTAGGAACAGTGTTACTCTTGAACTCGTAGTGTTTTGGCACCAGGAGATGCCGACATGCTGAAGGAATTTCACCCAGTAGCCTCAGGATGCATCACCGACAGAGGGAATACATCCATCTGACAGTGTGTATATTAACCAGAGCTTTGCATTAAGACGTTTAGTGAGACATGGTATGAACCTCTCCACCCCGACTACAGATATTTCACGAGTAAACACATAATGTGGGAAACTAAAAGGGAAAAATAAAACTAGAAAAGGTTAAACGATAGTGCAGATGTGGTGGTAAAGAGGATTTAAAACAATGGATGTATTCATGTGAGATCTTGCCCAATCATGAATGGAATTTATAAACAGATAATGTGGTTCAAAATTAGACCAAACTTTTATATTGTCTATTTTTGAGTCATGCAAAAAGCCAAAATGTGCATCAGACACGTTAAAGATTGATTTTAGCCTAGCAACTGCTGGAAATGCTTCTTGCTACTCAAGCAGTCAATGACGTTAAAACATTCAATTAAAAAAATTGAAAAAGTGTGAATCAACAGAACCACAAGAAATCCTTTAGCTTTCAGTCATACATGTTCACAAAAGATTAGGGTGATGGGTCCCTGTCGAGCAGTGTTTCTCAAACTTTTTCATACCAAGGACCACCAATAAAAAAACACTCGCGGACCACCTAAACACATCGTTTTTTACAAATCGCCTGAAAATTGTACAAACGAGTGGCCACATGTGTGATGAAGGTGCTTATCTGGGCTATATCATGCAATCGAAAGTGAAACTTAAGCTCGTTCCATTGCGGAGATATTCCCGCGAGAAAACTTAAATGTATTTATTTATTTCAAATGTGAAATTTTACCAATATAGTCATGGACCACTAGGGGGCGCTCACGGACCACACTTTGAGAAGCACTGCTGTAGAGTGAGAGATTCATGCCCCGGCCACACGAGGACGAAAACGGCTAAACGCATAGGATTAACGCAATCGCAAAAAAGCTTCCGTCCACACGCAATAGTTCACCGGATAGTGTCTGTCCACACGAGACCGCTCCGTTTAGCTCCAACCGCTGGAGAAGCTGCAGTACATATGCAGGAGCCTGTACGTGGCGCTGTAACTTCCTCCACAAGAGCAGCGAAGAAGCATGGTTGTCATGGTTGCCCTTCTGTTTATTCTCCGCGGTGGGGGCCGAGGGAACCGGGCAGAGTTTTGCGCCAGTCAACGTGTATTAAAGTTTAAATCTTCCGACAAAATTATAAAAGTGCCGGTCAAAAGTCTTCTTTGTTATTTATTGAGCTTTAAAACAAATGAATAACGAATCTATATAATATAATAATAAAATACACGGAGCCTCTCTTTTTCCACCCTCTCTTCGGACAGCGTCAGTGTCTGTCTCATGCAGCAGCTGATCCAGTAATGAGTGACCCGGCCGACAGTAAAAATAAACATATTTATAACTAGGTTAGGTAGTTTGAGAGGTGTCTCCGTCCTGTCAGATTAGACTTCACTCGCGTTTCTGTCCATATCGAGAGAAAGATAAATAATCTGAATTCAGTGTGCAGTTTACTTTGACGCCGGGGTGAGCAGCAGAGGTGGGGAGAGGCGGGGCTATTGCCTCATCATTATCAGAAAATGATCGTATAGGGCGTACACACGGAGCCGTTTGACCCCCAGAGCGTTGCGTATGCCGTTCTATCCATCTTGGGACCTGTTATCGTTTCCGCAGTCGTTTAGTGCCGTATTCGGTCGTCCTCGTGTGGCCGAACGGTCTATACGACACTAAACAGTAACGCAAACGACCGTTTTCGTCCTCGTGTGGCCGGGGCATCAGAGAGGTCCAGACAGACAGGAAGACAGTCATAGAAGCAAACAAACAATTGTCACCCCGTAGACTCTCAGTATTAGCAATTAAGTGTGTTTTAAAGTCAACTTCCTCTTTTCTGTATCTACTCTGCAGGCTGGTAGGGGACATGGAGTTCAAACGTTGCAGCACATGTTGTAAGGTGTGATTCGTTGCTAAAAAGTTGCGCAAGATGTGTTATTTGTTGTTGCACATCCTGCTGCTGTAGGAGTTGTTTGCCAGTTCAGAAATGACGCTTCTCCACGAGCTCGGTGAACATCTGGGTTGCAATGTTATTCACAACATAGAAAGGTTCCATTTTTGCCTGGTTGGCTTCACCTCGATCTTTCAAAACTCCACTGTCCTTTCTGCCCAGACGCTTTCCTCCTCCTGTAGTTTCTCCCACATTGAATACCTGAATATTGTATTACCTTTTTTTTGTTCGTGTTGTACTTTTTTTTGTCCTTTTTTAAGCAGGTTTGTTTTGTGGCTGAGAAAAGAACTCCAAATCCCCTCCCCCTACACAACCCTCTCATTCTTGTTATATATAGAGATGTTTCTTCCTTAACTTTACTAACACTCACTATGCAGGTTCTACCACCGTCTGCATGTCTTTCACAAACACTCACACACACTAGGGCTGCACCATTTGGGGGAAAAGTACTTATTGCAATCATGAATCACGAGGAAGTGATCATTTTTGCATAATTTCTTCTCATTATCATTGACATTTTTAATATTATACTAGTCCATATTGCAATTTAGAACACTTTTCTATGAATGGTGCAGCTCTAACTCACAAGTGCTCAGCTCACTCCCAATGAGGTGAACCATGCATTAACATGGTGGTCTGGGTGCTGTCTCCACCATGGCAGTGTAACAGGAGCAGAGTGGCACTCCTCTCCCAGCTTACAGGGGGGAGAGGAAGGAGGTGAGGAGGGAGGTGAGGAGAGGAGGGAGGATTAGGACCAGGCTGGGTCTGGTGGTTGTGGTTCCTTTTTATTCTTTTAGGACGGCCTAAACTTGACCTCTGACTGAATCTGGACGCTAGATAGTCCCAGGCTCGAGTCAGAGATCAAACTGCGGTCTGAGGGAATGAGTTTCTGTCTGAGGGAATGTGTTCAGCACAGGAACAAATACATCAGTGATTTACCTGCTGATTGATCGGTACATCTCCAGTTGTTGTTTAAATCACAATAAAACCCGGGGATGTCACTTCCTGGTTCCCTGGCTTCCTGTGTGGTCATACTAACACTTATCATCATGAAGTCAATAACCCTCACTGCGTCTCCATCACCATCAACAGTCAGTGGAGTCATGTTCCTGCCTCACTCACTCATAACCCAGCTTCACCTCCACCAAACAAAACGACCCTCTTCCTCCTCCTCCTCCTCCTCTTCCTCCCCCCTCCTCCTCCTCCTGTCGGCTCCATACAATTTTTTAGACTTCATAGGTAACATTTTCATGCCTTGTTCCTCCCCCGTCTCCTCCACCCCTCTCACCCGCCCTCCCTTTTTACCACTTCCAGGACAGGAAATTCTTCAAAGGATTCTTTGCAAAAGTAAGTTATTGCTTTGTGTCTCAGTGTGTCTCTTTATGATCAGCGGTATTATATTTGTTGTTATTATAATTTTTTCCTCCTCTTCACGTAACCCAATTCACCCTTTGATCACTTCTAAAGGCTGGAAGACACACACAGAGGGTGTGTGTGTGTGTGTGTGTGTGTGTGTGTGTGTGTGTGTGTGTGTGTGTGTGTGTGTGTGTGTGTGTGTGTGTGTGTGTGTGTGTGTGTGTGTGTGTGTGTGTGTGTGTGTGTGTGTGTGTGTGTGTGTGTGTGTGTGTGTGTGTGTGTGTGTGTGTGTGTGTGTGTGTGTGTGTGTGTGTGTGTGTGTGTGTGTGTGTGTGTGTGTTCTTCCCAATGAAACACTGAACAGTTGTGTGTGAACGGACGTTTGACTTATGGTGCACACACGAATATGTTGTTGTTGTTCTAACCACCACTGTCGGCTGCATCGTCACCACAAATTCTTCAATCTTTCTTTTATTAAATTATAGTTTGGGCACTCGTGAAAACAACCTCTCTTGTATCTCTTACCTGGTGCTTTCTCTTTCTTGACAGGTGTGCTTTGTGTGTGTGTTGACTTAATGATTTGGTACCAAGCAAAGGTTCAAAGGGAAGTCATGTTATTGTAAAACTAAAACATTACTGACTCTTTCCTGTTGTGTTTGGTTTGCAGGCGGGGAAGAAGGCAGTGCGCGCCGTGTTGTGGGTGTCGGCAGACGGTCTTCGGGTTGTAGACGACAAAACAAAGGTAATAATAAGTCTCTGAAGTCTTAGGAAAGACCTTTTATTATAAATAAAAGCTCCTACAGGAAGTCCACGTGGCTTTCGGAGCTTTATGGAAGCTGGTAATGGTAGTGAAGCTGCTGTACTTGTGCTCTAGTGACCTCCAAGAGGCCCTCTTTGTAAATATGTACTCTGCACCTGCAGGAGTAGATAGGAGTTAAATAGAGAGAATAGGGTTACACTGACACCTGCTGGAGAGATGTGGTAATACATCAACATGGTGTCATGGTTTCCTCTAAATCACATGTGTCAAACTCAAGGCCCGGGGGCCAAATCAGGCCCTTGGTGGATTTAATTTCGGCCCGCAGGATAATTCCTAATGACTATTAGATCTGGCCCTCCGGTATATTGCACGCACACCTTCACTCCATCCTGAGGGTCTCCTCCGCTCAGAGCCTGAGTCCAAACATTGATGACCTTGCACCCAAGATGAGATGCCAAGTATCTGAACTAGCATCACAGAGCAGCTCACTGAGTTTAATGGATGCTTCCTTCTGCACTTTCTCTCAGGACAACAGGGCATGTTTGGTTTTCTCTGTGAGGGGAATAGTTTTGTTGAAGCTGTTGTTGGCCTGTGGGGAAATGTACTCATAAGAAATGACTCTGGAAAAGCTGCAGATAGAGCCATAAGAAATGAATGCAGCTGATTATTTAATGTTGTTTTTATAGGCAATAATTGAAGCTTTGTTAGTTCCAGGTTTAATATGTGCAATAAGTTCATTTCAATAAGTTCTGCGATAAACATTGAACCAGTCCGGCCCTCCACTAGTACCCATTTTTAATGTTGGCCCACTGTGTGTTTGAGTTTGACCCCCCTGCTCTATGCAGCCTAACCCTTTTAAACTGCACAGTATATATTGTAATATACATGTTATATATTGTAGTGCAATGACTTATTTGTATTCTAACTCCTTATGTTCATTTAAATATTTTATTTTAAAAAATATTTTTTTGGGACATTTGACTTCTTATTTTTATATTGATATTTTTCATATATTTTATCTTTTTTTTGATATCCTTAATTTAACTTGTGATGTTTATAGAAATATATCTCCATTTTATTTGTATTTATTTTATCTTTTTTATTTCACTTGTCTTGCGTTTATAATTATATTTTAATTCTATCTTTTCTTTTTATTCATCTATGATTTTATTTGATCTTAAATGGACAGTATTCTGATTTTATTTCTAACATTTGTGGACAGCTTAAGGTTATAAAATAGAAGATATATTATAATAAAGTATCTAATACAAGAATAACATTGAATGCTATTTACCTGTTGCAACTATGTTGTAAAAGGATAGAAAATAAACTATTGTAAATATTCCCATCCCCCTTTCCCTGAGTGAGAGATTATCTTTCAGCGTCAGACTAACCTTTTGAACTTCTGGAGCTGCTATTAGTTCAGTCTTATTCAAGTGCTCTGGAATCCAGGTCTTCACATTGAAGTGCTGCTCACTGTGCAATCATTCAGATCTCATTGAATTGACTCAAGGGTCACTTTACCCGTAATGAGCTGATAATAACGAGGTGAACGTGTGTTAGCAGGACCTGATTCTGGACCAGACGATAGAGAAGGTGTCCTTCTGCGCTCCGGACAGAAACTTTGAGAGAGCGTTCTCCTACATCTGCAGAGACGGAACCACGCGGCGCTGGATCTGCCACTGCTTCATGGCCATCAAAGACTCTGTGAGAAGAACACATTTTGCGCTCACAGCTGATTGGTTACAGCCCGGGGGCCATTTTGCATCGGCCCTCAGCAAATTAAAAAAGTATAATGGAGTATAGCCCACAAAGGAAACGTGTGCTTGTCTTGTATTGTACTTCTTAAATATAGATGAAAACAGATATTACACAGTATTCATGAGTTAATGAGCCCACGTTTCAAACGAATTCAGTCAGGTAAAGTTGGAAACATTTTCTATCAAATCTCAGTTGATGAGAAAAAAGCCCAATAACTTATTTTCATAACATGCTTGAAATAAACCCTAATCAATCTGAAGCTCCTGTTAAAGTGTGTGTGTGTGTGTGTGTGTGTGTGTGTGTGTGTGTGTGTGTGTGTGTGTGTGTGTGTGTGTGTGTGTGTGTGTGTGTGTGTGTGTGTGTGTGTGTGTGTGTGTGTGTGTGTGTGGTGTGTGTGTGTGTGTGTGTGTGTGTGTGTGTGTGTGTGTGTGTGTGTGTGTGTGTGTGTGTGTGTGTGTGTGTGTGTGTGTGTGTGTGTGTGTGTGTGTGTGTGTGTGTGTGTGTGTGTGTGGTGTGTGTGTGTGTGTGTGTGTGTGTGTGTGTGTGTGTGTGTGTGTGTGTGGTGTGTGTGTGTGTGTGTGTGTGTGTGTGTGTGTGTGTGTGTGTGTGTGTGTGTGTGTGTGTGTGTGTGTGTGTGGTGTGTGTGTGTGTGTGTGGTGTGTGTGTGTGGTGTGTGTCATAATTTACCTACATTTGATTAATTTTGCTTAACTTAATTTCGTATATTATTCTGTATGTGGCCCTCGTGAAAAAAAGTTTGGACCCCCCCGCGTTACAGACTGTTTTACAACAGGTTCAAAAAGCAGTTCAGCCAATCACAATCACTAGAATCTAATTTATAATGTTTTTTTAAACGATGTTTATAAAGTGCTATGTCTAGGAGCTCTGTGTGAATAAGAATTGTTCCCTGGTCTGTTTCAGGGCGAGCGTCTCAGTCACGCTGTGGGTTGTGCGTTCGCCGCCTGTCTGGAGCGGAAACAGAAACGTGAGAAGGAGTGCGGCGTCACGGCGACCTTCGACGCTAACAGAACCACCTTCACCCGCGAGGGCTCGTTTCGGGTTACTACGGCAACAGAGGCGGCAGAGCGGGAGGAAGTGATGAGGCAGATACAGGACGCTAAAAAAGGTTAGTATAAAAAGTTTGGTCTAAAGAGCGTTTAACCTCCACGCTAGTTCTGTCTTTTTATTTATCTCTCTGAACAACTAATATTATATTATTATACACAGAGGTGGAAGAAGTACTTAGATTGTGTACTTGAGTAAAAGTAGAAGTACTTAGATTGTGTACTTGAGTAAAAGTAGAAGTATTCAGATCTTGTACTTGAGTAAAAGTAGAAGTAATCAGATCTGGTACTTGAGTAAAAGTAGAAGTACTCAGATCTTGTTCTTGAGTAAAAGTAGAAGTACTCAGATTTTGTACTTGAGTAAAAGTAGAAGTACTTGAGTAAAAGTAGAAGTACTCAGATCTTGTTCTTGAGTAAAAGTAGAAGTACTCAGATGTTGTACTTGAGTAAAAGTAGAAGTACTAGATCTTGTACTTAGTAAAAGTAGAAATACTCAGATCTTGTACTTAGTAAAAGTAGAAATACTCAGATCTTGTACTTGAGTAAAAGTAGAAGTACTCAGATCTTGTACTTGAGTAAAAGTACCAGAGTGTAGGAATACTCTGTTACAGTAAAAGTCCTGCATTCAAAATGTTCCTCAAGTAAAAGTAGAAAAGTATTCTCATCAAAATATAGTGAAAGTAGCGACAGTAAAAGTAGTCGTTGTGCAGATTGGTCCATTTCAGAATAATATATATGATATGTTTTATAATGATTGATCATGAAAGTGTTCTCAAAGCTGGTGAAGGTGCAGCTAGTCTGAATGACTTTGTATACTGCAGGGTAGCTGGTGGATTTACTCCAGGTGGAACTAAAGTCTGATTTAACACTTGATTAGATTTCACATCATTCATCCACATCTGTGAAGTAACTAAAGGTATTAAATACATGTAGTGGAGGAAAAGTACACCGTTTACCTCTGAACTGTAGTGGAGGAGAAGTACAGAGTAGCAAAAAGTACAAGTATCTCAAACTGTTTCTAAAGTACAGTACTTGAGTAAATGTACTGAGTTACTTCTGATCTTAGACTTTTGTTTTTTTCCAGCGGAGACGGATGTTGGTATGATGGGCCACCACAACTCGGCCATCTCTGTGAATAACTCCTCGGGTCAGTCGAGTGGAGGCACCCCCTCCCCGTCGTCCTCCCCCCCCCTGTCCATGGCCTCTCTGGGCCCCCAGGTGATCCCCCGCAGACACGCCCCCGCCGAGGCCCTCGCCAGGCAGGGCTCCTTCAGGGGCTTCCCGGTCCTCAGCCAGAAGACGTCTCCCTTCAAACGGCAGATGTCGCTGCGCATGAACGAGCTGCCGTCCAACGTGCAGCGCAAGTCTGACTTCCCCATGAAGAACACCGGTGGGTTTATCTTCCTCACACACTGGGTGTTTCTCAATGTCGAGTAAAGCTGCGCCAGAGCCACTATTTCAAGCATACTACGTCATAGCGTGCCGCCAAAGGACTGTTCCAATGTCGAGCATACTTGGAGATTTCAAGGCTGCACATGGGTAGACTCCGCGGTCTTAAAATCCCCACAATGCTTTGCACACGGACCAATTTCACAAAATGTGTGGCGGAAAATGTAAGGCGGGGCCTCTCATATGACGCACACCTGCACACTTGCTCGCCTGTTCCACTCTTTGTTTTCCGAATGCCAGGAAGTATTCTTGCCTCGCTTCTGAAGCAAGTGACTCGGAAGACATGTGCTCCCAAGCAAGCGTCCTCGACATTGAGAAACACCCACAATCGCTTTGTTCTGCAAAACCTGCAAATAACCTTCACACAGCTTCGAACATGTGCAAAGTCGACCCTGAAGATGACTCGGGGACGGTTTCATCCCACAGGCCATAAGACTGTTAAACACCTGAACTTTGGAAAGAACTGTTTAATATTTAATAATAATACATGTTATTTATATAGCGCTTTTCCTGCTGCTCAAAACGCTTAATTTAGTATTATATTATTCCAGAAACAAGAATAAATATGTGTATATAATATATGATATACCAGATCAATTCTGTCCTATTGTTAATGTTTTTTATTTCTGCTTTTACTAAATGTCCCCCCTGTGTTTCCCCGTCAGTCCCGGAGGTGGAGGGCGAGAACGACAGCATCAGCTCGCTCTGCACTCAGATCACCTCGGCGTTCAGCGGCCCCCCCGAGGACCCCTTCTCCTCCGCTCCGATGCCCAAACCCACCTCCTCCCCACAGTCTCCTGTAGCACCAGGTGACATACCCTCTTTAATATCTAACAAATCCCACTGTGATGAACCCAGTCAGTGGGTCACATGTTAACATATGCATTTAGAGAGTGTCTGCCTGCTCACATTGTCATAACTAGAAGTGTAACATTTATTTGATGTGTGATTAACAATACAGAAGACCTGAGGGACAAGTGAAAACAAATATTCATGTGATCTATTTTTTAAGCCTGATCTTAATTGTTTCATCTCGTCTTTATGGCGTGAGAACAGGTTTTAATAATTGTTTTCTTCTGTGAAAGAGGCGGGGGATAAATCTTGTACAGAGCACTTTATTTGAATTTTTTGTCTGCAAAAATAAATTGTCAATAAAAAAGTTTGCCAGGGGAAACACATTCTTTCTCAGGATCATTTTTCTAAGATCATGGGGTAGTGTCCGGCAGTGGCTCAGTCAGTAGGGGCTTGGACTGGGAGCTGTAGGGTCGCCGGTTCCAGTCCCCGACCAGGCCTAAAATATGGAGTGCGGACTGCTACTTGGAGAGGTCCCAGTTCACCTCCTGCCCTGCCGTGGTGCCCTTGAGCAAGGCACACACCCCTTCCCCCCTCACTCCCATTGCTCCCCGGGCGCTGTACAATCGCTGCCCACTGCTCCTAGTACTAGACTCCTGGTACTAGGATGGGTTAAAAGCAGAGAACACATGTCGCTGTGTGCTGTGAGACCATTAAAGAGGGGTTCATCCCTCCCATTCTATTCTATCTCTATTCTAGTGGTGTTTGGCAGCCTCTTGTGGCAGACATCAGTATTACAACAACAAACACAAACACAGGAGACAAAACACTTTAAATCAGACTTGGATCACCTTCATATTTCCTCTCTCTTGCCTCTGTATACTTTAACAGCACGTTCAGTTTGTGCATGTCTAACAAACGGTCCATCAGCCTGTACTAGCGTCTGTCTCTGGTCTGCTGTAGTGAACGGCTCCTCTCCTGCCTTCTGTGCTGCTGCTGCTGCTGCTGCTGCTAACCCCCCCGCTCTGCCCCCCGCCCTGCCTGCTCGAGACACTAACCCCTGGGCTAAGACCCCAGCAGGAGCCCCTCCCTCAGCACTGCCAGGTAAGCAGCAGCTCGGAGAGGCTGCATGTGACAGGAGGCACTGAGAATTTACTAATGAAAAATTACATTTAATTTGACCTTTGAGTTATTTAACAGTTTTAGATCCTTCTCCTTTGAAATGTAGACGATAACTGGGGGTCAAAACGATGACCCTTTAAACCTTCTCTCTGTTACACAGGCTGCTATTTCCAACATTGAAATTAACAACTTCAAACCAAAAACTAAAATATTGGGGTAGAAGTACACAGATCATGTACTTGAGTAAAAGTAGAAGTACTCAGATCTTGTACTTGAGTAGAAGTAGAAGTACCGCAGTGTAGGAATACTCTGTTACAAGTCCTGCATTTAAAATGTTACTCAAGTAAAAGTGCAAAAGTACCAGAAGTAAATTACTCATTCTGCCAATTAATATGTTTCTAAATTACGTCACATATTCAGATGAAATGTGTCGTGTTCTCACCCACTTTCTTCTGCCTTTCTCCCAACAGGAAGTAACTGGTCCTCTCCCACCCCGGTGATAGTGGTCCCCCCCACCTCCTCCCCCCCCGTTTGCTCCCACAGACGCACCCCCTCAGAAGCAGACCGGTGGTTAGAGGAAGTCACAAAGTCAGTGCGCGGCCCCCCCACCTCGCTGCCCCCTCAGCCGTTCAGCTCCCCCGGGTCGATGCCGGTAGCCCCTCTCCCCCAGGTGGCCTTCATCATGTCTCCCCTGCCCCCCGTCGTGCCCATGCTGCCCCCCCGTCAGCCCGCCTTCCACACTCACCCCCCGTCTTCTTACCCGCTGCCCAACGGCATCCCCTTCCCCCCCGCGCTGGTGGGCATCACTCCCTCTCAGATGGTGGCCAACATGTTCGGATCGGCATCTCACCCCCATCAGTTCCTCCCCCCCCCCTCCTTCCACCTCAACCCCCCATCAGTTCCTCCCCCCCCCCCTCCTCCACCTCGACCCCCCATCAGTTCCTCCCCCCTCCCTCCTCCACCCAGACCCCCCATCAGTTCCGACCCCCCCCCTCCTCCGCCCCTACCCCCCAGCAGGACCTCAGCCCCTTCATCAAACCCCCCCTCAACAACACGGTGAGTCTCCCCTCAAATGGCAGCGCCACCTTTAATGGCTCCGAGTCCTGGTCGCACCTCGCCCCCCCCCCTCCTCCCCCTCCATCCTGCCCCCCCCCCTCCATCCTGCCCCCCCCCTCCACCCTGCCCCCCCCACAGGAAGACATCTTCGAGGCCCAGTGGGCGGCGCTGGAGGGCCGCTCCCGTCAGATCGCCTCTCCGTCCCCCACTAACCCGTTCTCCACCGAGCTGCACAAGACCTTCGAGATCCAGCTCTGAAGACTGCTGGGAACCGGACTATAAGGAGGCCATTTTTGTTTTGGGGTGACTAAAGAAGAGCGAGGTGAGGTGAGGGGGGCGGGGGGGTCCTCCTGCCTCTTCTTCAGAGGAAGAGCTCACGGGAAGAAGAAGGAGAACCAGCAGGGAGCAGAACCCCAAACGGAGCAGGCTAACAGGCTAGCTTCTCATCAGCATCGTCTGTACGTTTGTTTGTGCAGCGCAGGCTCAGCATCGCCCCCCCCCCCACCTCCGCTCCCTGTTGCCAGGACGACGCCTCCTCACCTGGCAGAGAAACTGCAGCACTGAGAGAACTCAGCTTCCAGACAAGAAGTTCTCATTCTAACTTCCTAATCAGAAGAATACAGTGAGAAAATGCCAAAACTTTATTTTTATGCATTAAGTATATTTTAAATAGCTTTGGAATCTAACAGAAGAGTTGTAAGTAATCGTGCCAAAGGCATAGGCTAGCTACAATGAGACGAGTTTATGTTCGTGTATACAAGAAATGACCGTATATATTATACATAAAAAAATATATATATCTATAAAGAATCTATACTGTACACAGCTCACAGCAGTGCTAATTTGTAATGTGATGTAAAGAGATTTTGTGAAGGGACAGCTGCTTTACTTGTGTTTTTTTGTTTTATTTTTGGAGAGAAATCTCTTTGTTGCCGTCTGTTGCATCCTGTGATTGGATGTGGAGCATCTCTCTGTAAATAGGGTTTCGTTGCAGCAACAATCATTGTGGACCTGGTGGTGGTGCGGACTGGTTGCTTCTGACCTGTGCTCAGTTTTATTAGTTTAGTACACATCAGTACTTCCAATGTTACTTCCTCATTGTCATTCTTCTCTGCGTGGAAATGATCTTGTTTTTTTATTTAACACGGTAGGATGTGTCATCTCCTTTTTCTCCACCTCTTATATTATTTTTTTAAGTAGTTGATTTGTAACTTTTTATTTTGCACAGCACTACAGTAGATGATTTGACTCGCAGGTGACCGGCGGTTAGTGAGTGTAAGCTGCACGCTGACCTCAGCAGAAAACTACAGGGAGATGAAACCGCTTCCGTCTCTCTCAGTCTGATTTCTCTCTGTCATGTTTTTATTTTTTTAAATCAAACCTGTGAATATGATCTATTATCTGATCTATTTTTCCATTTTGTAATTATTTCATTACTTTATTCCACTTCTTTGGAGAAATATTGAAGCTAAAAGATTGAATAAATTGATGGTGGTAAAGGAAAACAGTGTTCTGTGTTATTGAGTCCATACTGTTGTGTTTTTAATACATAGTAACATCTATTGATTAAAAAACAGAGTAGGCCTATAATTATTCGGCTGACAAAAACATATTTGTATATATTCATCACACAATAAATGGACTAAAATTATTTTAAATAAATCAAGTAAACATTCTATTAATAAAATAAGAACTGCTGATACAATAATTCATGACCCATTATCCATTGCCCAAATATTTAATCAGCATTTCGCTAATGTATGTTCCACACTACTATCTGACTCCTATTTGATGACTGGTATTTCTAATAGTAACTCATACTGCAACAGTTATTTTTCTTTTAAGAAGATTCTACCACACGAAGTTCATAATGCTATTGATATGGAAAACTTCTTTGTAGCAATGTTGAGCCAATGTTCTTGAAATGAGGGAAACTGGATTCGCCTTAGGCAATACACTGATATTTATTGAGAGACAAAACGGCCGGAGGATTAACAAAGCAACTCGCACTGTTGAATGCAAGCTGCCAAATTAACTCTGCCCACACAAAGACGGAACCGCTCGAACCTGGTCTCTGAGAGGGGGCGGAGCCTAGAAACGCGGGCCTTTACCCCAATCGATTCCAGATGAACAAACAAAGATGCTTTGTCTCGTAAAGGCATCAGGCAGTAAACCCTTCCCCCACACAGGAAAAGAGAACCCATAAAACCTGGGTCATGTAAAGTTTCTCAGGACAGCTAAGAACACAAAGACATCAGACTAAAATATTCCGTTACAGCTATCACTGAATTAAAAGTGGATGGCAGTGCAGGACTCGATGGTATAGAAAACAGCTTCATAAAATTGGCGTCCCATATTCTCATGTACCCACTTGCTGATTTGTTCAACCTGTCTTTGTCCACCTGTGAGTTGCCGACTATTTGGAAATGTGCACGCATCATTCCACTGCATAAAGGTGGTGATTTAATTGATACAAATAATTATAGACCAATCTCTATAATCTGCTCTATTTCCAAAGTTTTGGAGAAAATAATTTATAATCAACTGTCACATTATCTCAATACTTATAATATGTTATCTCCGGTTCAATTTGGTTTCAGGCCTAATCACTCCACAACAACTGCCCTACTTAGATGTAGGAATGACTTGTACTCTGCTGCAGATGATGGTGAACTCACAGGTGCCATTTTTATTGACTTGACAAAAGCCTTTGATTTCGTTGATCGATATCTGCTCTTGGATAAACTTCACGGCATTGGCCTTTCTAATAATAGTGTTATGGTTTAACTCGTACCTTCACAGTGGAAAGCAATGTGTGGTTGTTAATGGAATGTTGATCCAACAAAAGGGTGTACCCCAAGGATCAACTCTGGGCCCACTTCTCTTCTATTTACATAAATGATTTATCTTCTTGTCTCATTAATTGTTGTACTCACCTTTATGCTGATGACACTGTCATATATACATCCAAATCAGATTTTTCACAAATTCAGATCTCTCTTCAATCGGATTTTAATATCTTACAGGACTGGCTATCACACAATAAACTACTGCTTAACAAAACAAAATCTTATACCATGGTCTTTGGTACCAGGCAGAAGCTCAGATCCAAACCTAATGTAGTAATAACATGTAAGGATGGCACTTCTCTGCATAAAGTTGATAGCTTTAAATATCTTGGTGTATGGCTAGACTCTGAACTTTCATTTAAACTACATATAAAGCATGTAATACAAAAAGTCAATTACGGAATCGGTGTTTTACACCGCTCTCGCAATTGTTTTACGCTCAGTGTCCGAAAGAGAATTGCTTCTCAACTTATTCTTCCGATTATGGACTATTGTGATGTTGTCTACCAAAATGCACATAAATCAGATCTTGCTCCACTCAACATAGCCTACAACAGACTATGCAGATTTGTTCTTGGTTGTCCTTTTCGTACACATCACTGCACAATGTATAACCAACTTAAATGGCCTTCTTTAAATGTAAGAAGACACACGCATTGGCTTCAGCTGATATTTAAATGCATGTATCTGAACTATCCCCCTTATTTAAAGCAGTATTTTGTACCCTACTCACCAAATCATCAAGTTAGACATTCTGTTCAGATTTATTTCTCTGTCCCCTCTGCAAAAATGTATTGGCAGAAGAGCGTTCGTGTTCAAAGCCCCAACTGACTGGAATACTTTACCTGCTGCTATTAGATCTCTTGCATCATTGGGTTTATTTAAACATGCATTATCATCTCACTTTCAACTGGTCTGTACTTGTTATAACTGATATTGATGAAACTGATTTGCTCGACTGTCTCAAATTGTAATGATTGTATGCATTGCTTGAATTTCACTTAACAGACTGTATGTGGTTTGTCTTGTGTGTCGTGTTTTGCATTTTGTCTTTTTGTTTATGTATGTCTGTAAGTTGTTGCTATTGTCGGGACCCCTTGAAAACGAGATGGTGCATCTCAAGGGGTTTATCCCAATGAATAAAAATGTCTATATAGGCGTGTGGCGCAGTGGACTAGTGCGTTGGTGTTGGGATCAGGGGAGCAGAGGTTCAAACCCCACTGCAGTCAGCATGTCGTTGTGTCCCTGAGACACTTCACCCCAAATTGCTCCTGTGGGGATTGTCCACAGTATTGAGTATGTAAGTCGCTTCGGATAAAAGCGTCTAACAAGCAACATGTAATGTAATAAATTACAAATAACTTTTTTATTCTAATACCCTTTTATAACAAAACATTTAAATCCGCTTTCACTAAGTACGGCAAAGTACTTGGTGTGAAAGTGGCTCTCCTTGGGTTGGCAGACATAACTGGCATATTTTTAGATATAGTCAAATAATCCATATAAAAGAAGTGCATGATGGCTGCAGGATGATCACATGGATAACACACACTTTAGTATTTCAAATAAATGTATTTAAACTACAACAAATTATTTAGAAGCATAAGGTAGAGCATATTTAGTCATTCCACTGAAGCACATTTTTTTCTTGATTGAGCTTTAAATACAAACATTTCACCCTGCAGAATTATAATTGTATTTATTCTTTTTGGACTATTTTTATCCAGAACTCCCACGTAATGTCAAAAAGTGTTAAAATAAATACACCTAAACTTGCCAATGTATAGAAACCATGTTGGAATGCGGGAAACATGTTTTTTTGCATAGGTGCAAGTCATTCATTTTTTTATTTAGCACAAGAACATTTAAAAATATATGGAATTACTTAAATATACATTTAAAGGATATAATTCAATAAACAACGGTGGGAAAACTAACAATTGAGGAAAACATTATACTTAAAATCAAGAGAGAAACAATAGGTGTTAATGTTAAAAAAAACACAAAGAGCCAGGTAAATATAAAGAGATAAAGACTGCTATTTAGATTTTTTTTTTTTACTTTTTACCAAATATTTTATTGGCTATTTGGTGATTTTTATTTATGTCCCTGTTGTAGTTCCCTCCCTCCAGCAGGGGGCGCTGGCTGCATCGCCGCGTCCTTATAAAAACAGCACGGAAGACATGCATCAGTTTAGCACAGAAATGCAGGAGAACATGTGTGTGAAACTGGAGTTGTGTTGGTTAAAAACGTAAAGGTAAGAATCAAACTTCATCTACTAGTTCACAGAAATGCAGCTCTGTTGCTAGGCAGAAACATATCAAATTCAGCCTAACAACGCAGCTGAAGTTAGCAAGATAACCGGCTAGCTTACGTTGGCTAACCAGATGCTAACGGTGGTTTAACTTAGATTTCATGAGAAAAACCATCCAGGATATTGACGAACACTAATCTTTATACATGTTGACTTCATATTCATGTCAATTTGAGCTGATATTGTAATATGTTTTAAATGCTGGTTTGCCGCGGCTAACAGCTAGCAGAGTTTGTGTTGCTAATGCTAGCTGACAAACGTTCACTAACGGTCGTATGTTAGCAGTTTACATTAACTATTTAAACTCGAATGAACTCGACAACTGAGTCACGAAGCAGCTACATTTCCAGTTTAAAGGGTTGTAATGTCCATATTCTGCTTTTAAACCAGGGTTGCCAACTTTGGGTACCTGGCTGGAGTGAGATTCTGATGTCATGGGTTTAATTACACATATGCGCACAAAATGACTGCTATCGTGTCAGTTGCGGGACCTTAGCATATATACAGGATATATATACAATATATACAAATACACAATATTGGACCCAGACTATAAAGGACACACAGTTTCATTCACTAATGAAAGTCAAACATGTTTGTTTCCACTGTTTTATTATGTGCCTGTCGCGATAAGCAATTCATTGACTTATCGTACGATAAATAAAAAATGAACTCGATAAATTGCCATTTACATGAGGATGAGACTAGCAGTTTGAAAGGATGTACTTGAATTATTATTATATATTATTATGTCCGTGGTCTAAAATGGTCATACAATAATTTCAATAATTTCCGGGAAAATGTATCCAACAAAATTAATTATCGTGATAGGCCTATACATGAAACACACACACACAAATCTACAGACTTACTCCAAACTGCCAAATATATTAATTAACACACTCTCTCTCTCATATACTCTTTGACTCTATTTTGGCCTAGTAGAACAATAAGCAGCAGACTTTTACTTTTTTTATAATTTCGACTGGATCTTAGATCTGCGCATGCGCAATACGGGTCGGCAGTTGCGGCTCCAGAGTATTTTTGTTGGGTAATCAATAGGCGCTTTCACACCGCAGTACTTTTCCCACAAAGGTTCATGAGAACTTGTCGCGTTCACACCAAAAAGAGCCGGTACTAAAATTAGTTCATGAGAACCTTTTTACACCCACGAAATTCCCTGCTAGAGAGCAGGGGTATGGGGGTTATTCCCTATCTTTATTCAAGAGCGTGGTATTTAAATTTGAGAGCATACTTTATGTATTTATTTCCCTCAAACCCTGTCCTCGCACTCAAATAGTGCCTGCTTGCACTTAGATGTGCTCTGCTTGTGCTCAAACTGTACGCTTGCACTCAGATATATTGCTGTTTACAGATTTGTTCTGCTCTCAGATTTATTCTGTGCGCGCTCGAAACTTTTGTGCAACAATCCTGTCAAAATCCCTCAACCAATAGGAGGCCAGGTGTCCTTGCGGATGCGTTCGCTTTACTTATTACAGCGTCCCGTAAGGGCGGTTACTCTTTGGTTTATAAAGGTTACTCTTTGGTTTATAAACTCGCCCTCCGCGGCTTTTTTTGTGGGGGGGGGGGGGGGGGTGGGTAAGCACAGTTAGTATATGTTTATAAAAGTCAAATCAAGCAATCTGATGTTTCTTAGCCGTGATATAATGAGCGTATATCCCGGGTATAATTGTAGTTACTTTTCACAAATCAGTATCCCTCCGCGTCTGAGAACCGTTACAACTGTTACATTACGTCCGTTATGAAACTAACTAACTAGGCTAACTAACAAAGCTTAAGATGGAAACATTTAAGGTTAACTTCGACCTCCGGGGTGGCCTTACTATGGAGGAGTGGATTGAGAAGTGCCTATCTCCAGGAAAAAAAAGCACCTAAACGACGTCTAATATGTTCTCTAGCTGTTATTGTTGTTGCATAGCAACCACCTGCACTATGTTTTGTGCAGAAGGCAACGGAGGGACTATTTTATTTTGAACATCCATCCATCCATCCATCCATCTTCTTCCGCTTATCCGTGGTCGGGTCGCGGGGGTAGCAGTTCCAGCAGAGAGCCCCAAACTTTCTTTTCCCTGGCGACATCAACCAGCTCTGACTGGGGGATCCCAAGGCGCTCCCAGGCCAGCGAAGAGATATAATCCCTCCACCTGGTCCTAGGTCTACCCCTTGGTCTCTTCCCAGCTGGACGTGCCTGGAACACCTCCCTAGGGAGGCGCCCAGGTGGCATCCTAACTAGGTGCCCGAACCACCTCAACTGGCTCCTTTCGACGCGAAGGAGGAGCGGCTCAACTCCGAGTCCCTCCCTGATGACCGAACTTCTCACCTTATCCCTAAGGGAGACACCAGCCACCCTGCGGAGAAAACCCATCTCGGCCGCTTGTATTTTGAACATCATTATTTAATAATAAAAACTATTTAAATTGGAGTGTGTATTTTTCTTTCACATTGCCAGCCACACGTGGTAACCGTTTTATAAATGCAATTGCTCACTTCAGGCCGTGATATACGAATATCTATTATCTATACAATATGGGGTTGTCGACACTCCGCTTCGCGTCGGGCCGAACCAAGCCGTAGCACAACAGTGCTGGAGCAGAACAACAGTCTGGAGGAAGAAGTGGGCCGGTCGGAAAATTCACTAGCAATCCCCCCTCCCCCCGTTGACAATTTACTAGCGATAACGAGGGCCGGTCGAGATTCCCGGGCTGATTTTTAGTCCCAGTCCGCCACTGAACGTAGCTATTATGTAAGGTGCTGGTATATATATACTAACTGTGCTTCCCCCCCCCCAAAAAAGTTGTAAATCAAACAAGTGAAGTACATGCTATGTTATAAAGCCGTGGAGGGCGGGAGTTTATAAACCAAAGAGTAACCGCCCTTACGGAACGCTGTAATAAGTAAAGCGAACGCACCCGCAAGGACACCTGGCCTCCTATTGGTTGAGGGATTTTGACAGGATTGTTGCACAAAAGTTTCGAGCGCGCACAGAATAAATCTGAGAGCAGAACAAATCTGTAAACAGCAATATATCTGAGTGCAAGCGTACAGTTTGAGCACAAGCAGAGCACATCTAAGTGCAAGCAGGCACTATTTGAGTGCGAGGACAGGGTTTGAGGGAAATAAATACATAAAGTATGCTCTCAAATTTAAATACCACGCTCTTGAATAAAGATAGGGAATAACCCCCATACAGGGGCTGCTAGAGAGCAGGGACTTTCGTACGGCTCTCTTGTGAGAAAAGAGCTATATTTCTGATTGGCTGGGCGGATTGCAAACCACGCCCCGTAAAACTCCCAAAAAGTTTTGTGAAGCCGCCATTTTATTATCCTCGCATTAGCATTAGCATTAGCCCAGGGCAGAAAGGCTGAGAGACTAATTTATGGCAACACAAAATAAAACATGGGAGCGGTGGAGATGAGGAGGTGTCGGCGTTCTGGCGATTTACTCGGAAGGCTTCAGTAGAAGCTGCTGGGAGTCCCAGCAGCTTCTACTGAAGCCAGTCCCCAACTCCGGGGACTTCCGGCCGGGGACTTTGGGCGGCAGTATACGCCGTGAAGTGGTTTGCGGCCTACATTCTCATGAACCTTTGTGGGAAAAGTACTGCGGTGTGAATGCACCTGGTAGGGCTAACCCATACAGTGGTGGGGCTCAAGTCAGTATTTGCAATGTAATTACACGCTCCCCTTGACAGTGAAACGCCACGCGTGAGGGTTAGATTATTTCCCTGTCTCAATCCAAATTGAACTATGAAATAAAAAGGCACATTTGTCTTGTAGTAAATAAAAAGGGCAACCTGGACCCAATCCTGCAACTTCCCCACAGGTGAAAGAGTTGACCTGCTGAAAACCCAACCCCTGCAGGGGGGTCTGGGGGATTCTCCCCCAGGAGATTTTTTTGAAATACTAACATAAAATACACATTCTGGTACTCTCTTGAGAAGAGAAATAAATACATCTATTACTACACGACATATTAAAAAAAAAAAAAATGAATTCCATTTACATTTTGTGTTACTTTGTTCTGAAAGCTGAACCTGCTGCTCCTCACAGAGAGAAGAGGGAAGAGGCTGTGAGTTACTTTACTTTGTGGATAAGGGTGGATAGCCCCCATTGTTCTGTGTGTCAAAATGAAGACAGCCCACACACCTATCAATCATCAAACCGTGGGGTCTTATTTCATTACGTGTTGATTTCTATCAACACGTAATGTTGTATCGATGTATATAGAGATGTACTAGAGCAAAAGTATTCTCCGTCGGGACTTCCTGCAACAACACCACGCCGTTATCTTGATTCTGATTGGCCAGAAGACATTATCAAAGATGTTCTATTGAGAAGACGATCACTACGTGACAAAAGTTTTCAAAACCGTTTCTAGTCTTCGGTATTCTTGTTTTTGGCGTGAGAATAGTTTTGAGAGCGTGAGATTGAGAGTGAAAGCGTGTGTCACACGCCAGATGCGTGAGAGTTGGCAACCCTGTTTTAAACTAACATAACGGAGTGGCTGACTTGACCGGTGTTACACTTAATTCTGTCCTCTATCAAATTCTGTGACCTGATGGAAGACAATTTGAAGATAAACCTTTATTGATCCCCTTGGGGAATTTAAGTTTTCTTCTTGGATTATATACATGTTTGAATACACACACATTACAGGAACTACAGTACAATTACACACATGCGTTGGAATACAGGTATAGACCTGCATTATAGAGGTGCCAGAGGGACGAGGCTGCAAGGGTCAGGTTGTTTGCAGACCTGTGTTTTTTAAACCCTGCAAATATGTGATATAAAAATGTCTGCTGTTCACTTGTTTCAGAGAGATGCAGTGCCTGTCCAGATCACAGAAACAGAGCCAAGTTTACATGGGATCCCACTGACACAGGAAAGGTGAAACATCAATCACTATTTTTTTGTTAACAACACCCATTAATGGTCAGATTGGCACATCTAAAAAGTTGCTTACCAATTTTGTTTGTTTTCTCACTCTAGGTTTCCACTTTTCAGCCAGAGGAGGATCTCTACACGTCAACATGTCTCACCGCGGACCTTTAACCGCTGTCATAACAACCGTATTAGGGGTGACTTTAGGGGGTCTGCTCGTATGGAGAGTTTACCGCACAAAGAGGAGGAGGCTGCCTTCCGTCCAGAAGGTGGCCGATCCTGTGGAGCCTCTCTGTCCTGCAGAGAAGGAAATTAAGGCTGTGGAGACTCTAAACACCCCCCCACCGCCCCCCCAACATCCTCCAGAGGAGGAGTTCAAGGCAGTGGAGAATCAGACCACGCAGCCGACCGACCCCTTCAGGATCCCGTCCTCCGAGCAGCTGCTGACGGTGAATCCGGTGACTGTGAGCTCGGAGGAGGAGTGGCTGCAGATCTGGCCGCTGATGCAGAAGGAGCTGACGGGGTTTCCTGTTCTGGGGCTCGACTGTGAATGGGTAAAGGCCGACGGCGTGAGAACAAACTTTTTGCATGTTTTTTGATTTATGAAAAGGGAAAAATCCACCCTGAGTTATTCAGCAATGTACTCTGCATTAGGGCTGTTAAAATATGGTTTACTTAAAGGTGGGATAGGTAATTCACTTCAGAAACACTTGTTATATTCCATGGAATGCTCTTAACATCTCGATGGCAATGAATACATTAAATGCTTTGACAATAAATACATAGAAAAATGTCATCAATGGAAGCTGTGGCGCTGTAAAAAGCACGACCAATCATCTGAGCCGGCTAAAGTAACTGGATGGCCTACCTGCCTGTCAGCCTTCCATCTGTGCACAAACTCATCTCGTGCCCTCATTGGTCATGTGTGCGTTGGAGGAGGGGCTCTGTGGGGAAGTCTGAAGGAAGGGGCAGATTTATTTCGGCTGCGTACTTTCACATTCGAGCTGGTTTCTCCATTCTTACCTACCTATCTTTAACAGAGCTGTACAATTAATCAACACTGTATTGAAGAGCGAGGTACTTTATTGATCCCATATCGGGAAATGTTTGCGTTGCAGCAGCATAAAAAACAACTAAACGAGGCATTGCACATAAGTAGACATTAAAGAGTAGAAATAAACAATACTAGAATTTTAAACATCTCAAAATAGAATTAAAGCAGCATTGAAAAGTAGAACGGTAAACTGTGAAGAAAAAACATCTCTAAACTCTATTAAAGGGCTTTAGACACACTGTAAAGTAGGGCTGTATCCGAATATTCATATATATATATATATATATATATACTATTCGTTTTTTTTTTCAAATTGAATTTATTGAACTCTCCAATATCAACGTCAGAGCTTGTGCCTCTTCGGAGGGGGCTAACACTTAACCATAAACGTTATTGTTTACTTTCTCCGTCTTTATATGTAGATATTATTTTTCTCCGTCACGTTGTTTCCATAGCAACAACAACTTCCTGTCAACAGCACTACCTCTCCTTCAAAATAAAAGCATGTCCATAAATAGGAAGCCAAACCAAATTACACTTAAGACATACAACTGCAACGAATATTCGCTGCTGATTACTGCCGAATACCCGGAGCCCGAAAAATGGTATTCTGGACAGCCCTACGGTAAAGCAGGATATTATTTACACTAAGCGTGTAGGGAGTGGAATATAAAATGAAATATCTCAAATGAAATGTTTGTTAAAATATCTGAATCAAGTATTGTGTATCTGCAGACATATCCAACACGTTGTATTCTACTATCTTCATATTATATAATCAGATGGATTTGATTTGTAAACACCGTACACACTTCACAATCACAGCGCTCCTGGTATTTCTCTGACCTGTCTTCCTCTTCCTGCCCCAGGTGTCGGTGAAGGGCCGCTCCACCTCGGTGTCTCTGCTGCAGATGGCCACGTACTCCGGTCTGTGCGTCCTCGTGAGGCTGCTGGCGTTTCGCAGCGGGCAGCAGAGCTTCCCTCTCAGCCTGATGGAGGTCCTCAGAGACCCCCACGTATTAAAAGTCGGCGTCGGCTGCTATGAAGATGGCAAACGTCTGACGCGAGACTACGGGCTGTCGCTGAGCTGCACGGTGGACCTGAGATACCTCGCCTTAAGACAGAGGTATTCAAAAAGGGAAATGTAGATGAACTAACCGTTTTTATGAACGTTAAAACGCAGTGCAGGTTGTCAACCATTTTTACACCAGTTTCCCCCATTACCTATCATTTCATGTTTTAGTAGATGAATATGAAAAGAGAGTATGTGTGCCCTCCTGATTTAGTTACTAGTTTGTTTTCCTCTCGGTTTCTCTTCACATCCACATGCTTAAGCTCAACAGCCAATCAGAGTGGCTTATTTTGCAGACCGCTCTGCGTAAGCGACAAGAAGTCCAGCACAAACACGGCAAAAAAACATTGCAGAACAGTGCTCCAATCTGACATCTGATAAAAGTCTTTGTGTCAGGACCTTTCAGAAATCCAAATACTTTTCTTTGTTGTTTGTAATGATCCTCTTAAACCCTGTGTGTGGTTCCAGGCAGGTGACGGTGAGCAACGGCCTGAGTCTGAAGTCTCTGGCGGAGGATCTGCTGAACGTGTCTCTGGATAAATCTCTGGAGCTGCGCTGCAGCGACTGGGAGGCAGAGAGACTGACGCTGCAGCAGGTACAGATCCTTTCAATCAGACCGCTCAACATCTCATGTCTTACAGCTGCTTTAGGGAACGCTTCAGGATGCTGTGGGGGAAACAGATTCAGGTGCTCCTGGTTCTAGAAAGCAATGTATTTCCTTTATAGACAACATAAGGTGATGGACAGGAGTATGAAACTACTAGGTATTACACTTTGTAGCTTGTTGTCAATAAGTATATAAATGGTCCAAAGAGGTTGTATTCTACAGTGTGCCTGAATGTAATCATTGCGTAGGTGTGTAGTAGGGGTCGTCCGATAATCGGCTTGGCCTTTCTTTTATCAAATTGCCGATAAAACTTTGGCTCTGATGCGGCCGTTTCTCTGGCTGCAGTCACCACTCTGAACACGAGCAATGTCCCGCCCACAGCGCTATCTGATAGGCTATTACTGAAGATTTCCGGGCGGGAGCCAGAGAGGCGGGACCTTCTCAGATTACAGGCAGGTGCGAAAGAACGCAGACACAGACTGAAGCAAGCAGCAGCGCTGAGCGGCAGAGCCAACATGTGTTAAACCGAAGTTCAATAAACATCCCTATCCCCTATGCTGAAGTTGCAAAAACACGATCTTATGATCCAAACCTATCAGTTTCCCAGTTACACAGGGACGCGGGAAGTCAGTCAGAGTTGGGGGTGCGTGCAGCGTCTCGCAGCGGAGTAACTGTGGTGCGGAGGGGCTGCGAGTGGAGCCTTGCAGTTTTTCAGGTTATGTGAAGCTCATTAGCTAGCCAACATGTATCTAGCAAATGTTTAGCAACATATTAGAAGTGAGGCTACTAGACTAACGTTAGGTCTACTGTAATAGCCTCACTTTTAATAGTTTGCAAAACATTAGCTAGCACTAGTGTTTTGCAGTTGCTAGCAGCTTATTGGGATGTTATGCTAGATAGACAGATCTAATAAATTAAGCATTCTTGTTAGTTAAGCGTGTCAGCCTGCAGCCCCACTTCTTGTCTCTCTAACTCATTGCAGATGGCTGCACTAAAGAAAAGGGCACAGAGAGGAAACCAGTTGTAAGATGTTTAAAAGTTCATTAAACATAATATATGCTTAAATGCATTTCAAAGAAGTTGTTGGAGTTTGTGTTATTCGACATTTTGACACCAAGATTTTTTTTTTACTGCAAATGTATATCGGTTCCAAATATTGGTTATCGGTCTCCTTGATTACTAATAATCGGTATCGGCCTTGAAAAAGCCATATCGGTCGATCCCTAGTGTGTAGTGTGATTCTGTGTAGTTTATTGATGGCATCCCGTTGGGTTTGACGTCATCTGAACAGGACATCGCACGCTCACTGCTTGATAGCGCGAAGGTCCGTTTACGCCGGTTGCTAAGCAACATCGTTATGGGGAAATGCAAGTCTGCGTCCAAATGGTTGGAAGATAAGGAGGAAGGACAATCAATACTGTATTTAGTCAATGTGAGGTAAAGTGTGTCGCCAAGGTAACCGGTTAGAACTCTTGATAGCGGGAGTGTTTACGTGTTCGGCGTAATGGCGTACAACGGCCTCGACAACTTCTGCAGTCCTATTCATCCGCTTGGTAACAACCATCGTTTCTCAGACACGTCAACTCTTCAGAAATCACCAGTGGGGTCACTGCTGATGATTTAATGTCGTAGAACAAAACGTGATCCGTCGCTTCAATGTGTCTCAACCACAGACCTGATTTCCAGATATTTTCCTAAATCCTCTGGAGAACTTGCATTGCTTTTTGGCGAAGGAACCAGAAGTGGTAAAATGCTAACTTACTTCCGGGTTTTAGGGCGCGTCACTGTGGCGCTCTATTTCTGCTCAGTATTAACAATTTCACTCTTTCTCCATGTCCAATCCCACGAGAAAAGTTTCCATGGTTGAAACTTAGCGAAATCTCTCCCATAGCCACATGTTCACTTTGGCATAGCCTGACCCTATATGAATCGGAGATCTTGATACTGCTCCTTTGGTTCTCTAACGTTTCCTCCATGTTCCCCTGTAGATAACGTACGCTGCGCGGGACGCCCAGGTGTCCATCGCTCTCTTCCTGCACCTCCTGGGCCTGGACTCTGCATCGGGACTCCAGTGCTCCAGCGAGAGCTCGTACTCTGAGCTGGCGTCTCGCTGCCAGGGTCTGCTGGACGTGTCCTTCAGGGGCCGAGGAGACTCTGAGGATAAGGAAGGAGAGAAGAGGAGGAGGACGCGGACAACGCCCACTTTTGAAAGCCCGGAGTCTGGAGATCAGCAAGTCCCAGACCCCCGGAAGAACAACAAGAGGAAACCGCTGGGTGTGGGCTACTCCGCCAGGTGAGGGGGGGGGGGACAAATCTCACAGATGAAACTGTTTTAATGCATTCTTTTCTGCTGATTTTCTGTGATTTTTTTTGTTTTTGTTTAACATTTCAGCTCTGTGTATTTTAGACCTATGTCAATTCAATTCAAAACCTTTATTTATCAGGTAAAATCCCATTGAGATCAATGATCTCTTTTTCAAGGGAGACCTGCAGCAGTAGGTTCCACAAGAAGACATAAAAACTAGGGCCGGGACTTTAACGCGTTAATTAAGATTAATTAATTACAAAAAAATTAACGCGTTAAAAAAATGACCGCATTTTAATCGCACTTATTTTTGCACCGAGGAACGTTTCTCACTGGATGAGTTTCAGGCGTACCGATTATACTGGAGCACCAACTAACGTTCATGACTTCAGACAACAACAAACCACAGTGAACAACAGTGGGAAATGTTGTTTTAAAAAACGGACGGGTGGAAGCGTCGATAAGAGCACGGTTGTGTGCAAATTATGCAAAAAGGAATTCGCATATCACCGCAGCACATCAAGCCTCAAGTATCACCTCAATGCAAAACATATAGCAGCTAGCGTGGACGTTAGCCTCTTTTATCGCGTTCACACCAAAAAGAGCCGGTACTAAAATTAGTTCATGAGAACCTTTTTACCCCCACGAAAGTCCCTGCTAGAGAGCAGAGAGCTGCTAGAGAGCAGGGACTTTCGTGCGGCTCTCTTGTGAGAAAAGAGCTATATTTCTGATTGGCTGGGCGGATTGCAAACCACGCCCCGTAAACTCCCAAAAAGTTTTGTGAAGCCGCCATTTTATTATCCTCGCATTAGCATTATTAGCATTAGCCCAGCGCAGAAACGCAGAGAGACTAACTTATGGCAACACAAAATAAAACATGGGAGCGGTGGAGATGAGGAGGTGTCGGCGTTCTGGCGATTTACTCGGAAGGCTTCAGTAGAAGCTGCTGGGACTCCCAGCAGCTTCTACTGAAGCCAGTCCCCAACTCCGGGGACTTCCGGCCGGGGACTTTGGGCGGCAGTATACGCCGTGAAGTGGTTTGCGGCCTGCCAGTAAACCCAAAGCAGAAGAAGAAGAAGTGACGTCAGCGGCTTCATTTGCCTAATCCACCCCCAGGTTCAAAGAGTTCCCATGAACCTTTGTGGGAAAAGTACTGCGGTGTGAATGCGCCTAATGGTATACTAAAATCCATGTGAAAAAAATTGCTTCTCACTGTTCTCAGGTCAAATATTTATGTGATTAAAAATGCGATTAATTTCGATTAATTAATTACAAAGCCTCTAATTAATTAGATTCATTTTTTTAATCGAGTCCCGGCCCTAATAAAAACATAAACAACAAAAGGACATCATACAGCAAAATGTACATGTAATATATGTTGTTGTTTTTACGCAGAGAAACGTGTTATTTTAATGAAGTTAACACTTTCCCTGGTCTCCTGTAATGTTGTCGTATCCCGCGGCAGATAGACTACATCGGGGGAAAAACACTGATCTTTAACGTGATCCGCTTTGGTGTTTTACCAGCTTTACCTACGAGGCCTCTTGTTTTAGAGAAGGGAGTTCAAGTTAAAGGGGCCCTGCTCATTCTCAGGTATATATCAGTATGCAGTGTCTCTACTTTAAAGAGTCCTCTCCTAATGATGTTCAGGTGTATATCAGTATGCAGTGTCTCTACTTTAAAGAGTCCTCTCTTGCTGATGTTCAGGTGTATATCAGTATGTAGTGTCTCTATTTTAAAGAGTGCTCTCCTGCTGATGTTCAGGTGTATATCAGTATGTAGTGTCTCTACTTTAAAGAGTCCTCTCCTGCTGATGTTCAGGTGTATATCAGTATGTAGTGTCTCTATTTTAAAGAGTGCTCTCCTGCTGATGTTCAGGTGTATATCAGTATGTAGTGTCTCTACTTTAAAGAGTCCTCTCCTGCTGATGTTCAGGTGTATATCAGTATGTAGTGTCTCTACTTTAAAGAGTCCTCTCCTGCTGATGTTCAGGTGTATATCAGTATGTAGTGTCTCTACTTTAAAGAGTCCTCTCCTGCTGATGTTCAGGTGTATATCAGTATGTAGTGTCTCTACTTTAAAGAGTCCTCTCCTGCTGATGTTCAGGTGTATATCAGTATGTAGTGTCTCTACTTTAAAGAGTCCTCTCCTGTTGATGTTCAGGTGTATATCAGTATGTAGTGTCTCTACTTTAAAGAGTCCTCTCCTGCTGATGTTCAGGTGTATATCAGTATGTAGTGTCTCTACTTTAAAGAGTCCTCTCCTGTTGATGTTCAGGTGTATATCAGTATGTAGTGTCTCTACTTTAAAGAGTCCTCTCCTGCTGATGTTCAGGTGTATATCAGTATTTAGTGTCTCTACTTTAAAGAGTCCTCTCCTGCTGATGTTCAGGTGTATATCAGTATGCAGTGTCTCTACTTTAAAGAGTCCTCTCCTGCTGATGTTCAGGTGTTTATCAGTATGTAGTGTCTCTACTTTAAAGAGTCCTCTCCTGCTGATGTTCAGGTGTATATCAGTATGTAGTGTCTCTACTTTAAAGAGTCCTCTCCTGCTGATGTTCAGGTGTATATCAGTATGTAGTGTCTCTACTTTAAAGAGTCCTCTCCTGCTGATGTTCAGGTGTATATCAGTATGTAGTGTCTCTACTTTAAAGAGTCCTCTCCTGCTGATGTTCAGGTGTATATCAGTATGTAGTGTCTCTACTTTAAAGAGTCCTCTCCTGTTGATGTTCAGGTGTATATCAGTATGTAGTGTCTCTACTTTAAAGAGTCCTCTCCTGCTGATGTTCAGGTGTATATCAGTATGTAGTGTCTCTACTTTAAAGAGTCCTCTCCTGTTGATGTTCAGGTGTATATCAGTATGTAGTGTCTCTACTTTAAAGAGTCCTCTCCTGCTGATGTTCAGGTGTATATCAGTATGTAGTGTCTCTACTTTAAAGAGTCCTCTCCTGTTGATGTTCAGGTGTATATCAGTATGTAGTGTCTCTACTTTAAAGAGTCCTCTCCTGCTGATGTTCAGGTGTATATCAGTATGTAGTGTCTCTACTTTAAAGAGTCCTCTCCTGCTGATGTTCAGGTGTATATCAGTATTTAGTGTCTCTACTTTAAAGAGTCCTCTCCTGCTGATGTTCAGGTGTATATCAGTATGCAGTGTCTCTACTTTAAAGAGTCCTCTCCTGCTGATGTTCAGGTGTTTATCAGTATGTAGTGTCTCTACTTTAAAGAGTCCTCTCCTGCTGATGTTCAGGTGTATATCAGTATGTAGTGTCTCTACTTTAAAGAGTCCTCTCCTGCTGATGTTCAGGTGTATATCAGTATGTAGTGTCTCTACTTTAAAGAGTCCTCTCCTGCTGATGTTCAGGTGTATATCAGTATGTAGTGTCTCTACTTTAAAGAGTCCTCTCCTGCTGATGTTCAGGTGTATATCAGTATGTAGTGTCTCTACTTTAAAGAGTCCTCTCCTGTTGATGTTCAGGTGTATATCAGTATGTAGTGTCTCTACTTTAAAGAGTCCTCTCCTGCTGATGTTCAGGTGTATATCAGTATGTAGTGTCTCTACTTTAAAGAGTCCTCTCCTGCTGATGTTCAGGTGCATATCAGTATGCAGTGTCTCTACTTTAAAGAGTCCTCTCCTGCTGATGTTCAGGTGTTTATCAGTATGTAGTGTCTCTACTTTAAAGAGTCCTCTCCTGCAGATGTTCAGGTGTATATCAGTATGTAGTGTCTCTACTTTAAAGAGTCCTCTCCTGCTGATGTTCAGGTGTATATCAGTATGTAGTGTCTCTACTTTAAAGAGTCCTCTCCTGCTGATGTTCAGGTGTTTATCAGTATGTAGTGTCTCTACTTTAAAGAGTCCTCTCCTGCAGATGAAATATATCTTGATCTCAGTTTGTGGAAGCTGACTGTCAGAGCAAACTCCCATGATGCACTTTGCCATCTTTTATTAATGTTTTTTTATGTTGTCTGTGTTCCAGGAAGTCTCCTCTCTACGATAACTGCTTCCTCCACGCTCCTGACGGCCAGCCGCTGTGCACCTGCGACAAGAAGAAAGCCAAATGGTACCTAGATAAAGGAATAGGAGGTACACGGAGACTCCTGAGCATACTCTAAACATCTCTCTCATTCGTTCAGAGCACAGGTTTCTCTCTTCTGTGTTCGTGGGTCTGAACGTGTGATTTATCTGTCTCAGTGCTGCAGAGTGAAGAGCCGTTCGTGGTGCGTTTGCTGTTCGAGCCGTCGGGACGTCCCGACTCTCAGCAGGATTATTATCTGACGGCCAGGGAGAACCTCTGCGTGGTCTGTGGGAAGGCAGACTCCTACATCAGGTCACTCATGGTTTACTTTACACTTTTGCGCCTATGAAATGCATGCAAGTTAGAAGTTACAGAAATCCTCAAAGTGCGATGCTTTGTTGAAAATATTGCTTTCTATGAAGGCAGAGTTTTGAGATCTGGAGGGACGAACTTCGACAAACGGGTCGCTTGTGATTCTATATGCAGGAAATCTATCAAAGTGGATAAATAGACTTTGGGGGACTAGAAGTATTTTGTTAAGACTCCTTGAAAGTGCTTGAATTGTACTCTTTAAAAGCTGTACGAACCCTGATTAGACTAGGGAATTAACAAGCGTTGGGTTGTTAAGTAAAAACAGCAAATCCTCACATTTCACATTAGTTTTTAGCCTTTCAGCTCTTCATTACAGTATATTACAGTTTTCTTTTCTGTTTTTTTATTACTGCTGTATTTTATTCCATTTCTATGTAAATACTGCTATATTTTTACTATATATTTGTATGTACATTTTTATGTACGCACCATGACATCAAGCCAAATTCCTCGTACCTACCTGGTAATAAATCTGATTCTGATTTTAAAGGGGACCTATCATGCAAAATGCACTTGTGATGTCTTTTCTACATCAACATGTGTCCCGGTGTGTCGGGGAACTCACGCAGAGTCAGAAAATAAAACCCCCTCTCTTTTCCTCCGTACCCAAATCTCTAAAAACGGGGAACAACGGAGCTGATCCAGATTTGCGTCCGATATGACGTAATATCTGAAATGTGGACCCACGGCCCAATCAGAAACGTTGCTATCAGAAACAATGCCCGACTGTTTTGGACGTAATATGGTCGGTGTTTACATTAGCATGGCTAACACTCAGAGCTAACCTGTACTGGAGAGCATGTGTGTGAAGAAGCAGGAAGTAAAAAGGAACTCACCTTGTGGTATAACCGGCAAGAGAGAAAGCCTTTGAGCTCCAGACTGTTTCAGAGAGAATCCTTGATAATCCATGATATGGCGTTTCATCACGGCAGCATTTAGTTTAGACAGTAGCTGCCGGGTCCCGCATGAGCTCAGACCCCTCCTCTTTAAAGCTTTATACCCAAATCAGCACTTTAGAAACAGGAAGTGAAATAGAGGGATATGAGGCATGGCTAGAATGATCTGTTTGGTGTTTGGAGCAAAACACTTCATAGACATGTTTTTTATATAATTTGTATAAACTTGAGACCTCTGCTATTGCCTAAAAATAGCATGATAGGTGACCTTTAATACAAATGTAAGGCCCGATAGGTGTGTAAGAAACGTGTGTCTTATCACCAGAGATTTTCATACTTGTCTTTGCTCCCTCAGGAAGAACATCGTGCCTCATGAGTACCGCCGGCACTTCCCCACGGAGATGAAGGACCACAACTCCCACGACATCTTGCTGCTGTGCACCTGCTGCCACGCCGCCTCCAACGTGCACGACGGCTTCCTGAAGCAGCGACTCGCCAACGAGTTCTCTGCGCCGCAGGGCTGCGAGGAGGGGGTCCGTCTGCTGGAGGACTCGGACCGGAGGAGGGTTCGCTCTGCGGCCCGAGCGTTGCTGACGGCCGGAGACGCTCTGCCGGAGCCGAGGAGGCACGAGCTGCAGGACGTCATCAGAGGGTTCCTGCAGAGCCACGAGGAACAGCAGCTGACCGAGGAGCAGCTGCAGCAGGCCGCCGGGCTGGAGTTCAGGTCAGGAACCATGGGGGGTTCAAGTGTTTAGATTTTCATTTAAATCCATGACATTATTTGGGATTCAAACTAATATTTCTTCACCTAACCCAAGCTATTAAGAGGAATACAATCTTGAAAATGGCTGCATCTGAGTAGGATTCTCCTGCTTAAGCAATATGCAATGTTTTATTCATTTTCTAAAGCTACTGACCCAGAATCAGCCCTTCTCTAAGAGGGCTGAAATAGAGGGATATGAGGCATGGCTAGAATGGCTGATCCATTTGGTGTTTTGAGAAAAACACTTCATAGACATGTTTTTGATATATTTGTATATATGCTTAAAAATAGTATAATAGGAGAGCTTTAATAAAACATCAAGAATATCCTTTGCAGTTACATGCAGTCTTTAAAGACCCTTGTCAGTTGTAACTCCCGGCGCTGACCCCCCCCCCTCTCTCTCTCTCTCTCTCCTCTGAAGGATCTTCAACGAGGCGTACGTGCCTCACGGTCTGAAGGTGGTGCGGGCGTCAGCTGATCGGGGTCTCCAGGGCCTCATGGAGCTGGAGCGCCGCTGGAGGCAGCACTTCCTGAAGGCCATGCAGCCGAGACACCTCCCCCCGCTGTGGGCCGTGGACCACAACCACAGAAAGTTCCTCCGCAAGTACGGAGAGGACCTGCCCATCAAACTCAACTGAGCCTGAACGCAGCGTCCGGAGAGTATCACACGCCAAATCGCTTTTCTTTTCTTTCTCAGTGAGATAAAATGACTAATCCACCAGCCGAGACTGAAGCGTTGCCAGCCATGAGGAGTGTGTGTGTGTAAATACACTCTTATCTGCGGCTATTCTTAGTGCCGGTTGTATCCTGAAGAACTTTAAGACTAAAAAAGAAAATCTAAAAATCGATATCACGTGACTGCAAACGGACACTTTTTATCATGAATAATGTATGGTTTATTTATGGGAATAGCTATAAATGTATGCACTGATTTTTAGAAGAAGCTGCTTCCTGCTCTTAATGTCCCGCCTAAATTCAACCCCCCTCCCTCCCCTCCCCCCTGCAGGTTAGCAGCTTTATGACCTTTAAATGATGAAACGCTCCGCCTTGCTTTCTGTTCTCACTCTGTCTGTTTTAAGTCAGTAGATGAACTCCCTGAGATATGAGAAGGGTTTCCTCGAGGTGCCAGTTTATGCAGGGGGGGGGGGGGGGTGCAAAGTTGGCTCGTTTATTTGCTCAATTAACCTCCAGATGTCATCGTGGTGCAGCTGAGGCTCTACAGTCGGGACGTCTTCTGGTTCATGTTTTAATGAACCTCTTAATCCCAAACACTGGAGTCTCATCGCAGCTTCGAACATCTTCAATAAAACCAGACGTCAATTTACAGAATCCAAACTACACTACAGTGGAAAAAAGAAAAAGTGCCAACTTTAATTATGTGAGTAAAGTAATCCTTAACTTCCCCCTGCGCCTGTAGCAAGGTGGACGATCTGGAGCGTGATGAATGAATATAAAGTGCAGCTGCTTCGTCTTTAGTCGTATTGTCTGGATGTAAAGCCCGAAGCTGTTCTGTTTTCCTAATTTGTGAATGATACAAAAAATAAAGTCTTGTTTGTATTAATCTGTTGTCGCTCGTGCTGTTGCTTGGACATGAAAACTCCTTCAGACAATTAGATGATTGATGTAAGAGCATCAGATTTAAAGGTAGGGTAGGTAATTCACTTCAAACTCTTTTTGTTATATTCCATGGAATGCTCTTAACATCCCGGTAGCAATAAATATATACAAATATTTCATCAGTGGAAGCCGTGGCGCTGTAAAAAGCACGACCAATCATCTGAGCCGGCCCGGCTAAAGTAACTGGATGGCCTACCTGCCTGTCAGCCTTCCATCTGGGCACAAACTCATCTCGTGCCCTCATTGGTCATGTGCGCGTACGTGTGTGTTGGAGGAGGGGCTCTGGAAGGAAGTCTGCAGGAAGGGGCAGATTTCTTCCGGCTGTGTATTTTCAAATTCTAGAGCACTCTCCATTGCTGGTTTCTCCATTGTTACCTGCCCTACCTTAAGTAACCACCAATAGATTTTACCTTTTTAAGATTAAGACTAAATAAAGAAAAGAGACTGGATATGCAGTCAGTAATCCTGTTTTCAATCTATTTTATTCAACCATTTTCTGCATTAAAAATAGAGGCATTAGGAGTTTTGCAAGTACACTGCAGGGTTTCAACAGGAATGATGTCCCATTGTGCATGCGTATCACAATGTGGAATATATATATATATATATATAATCATTTAACTGGGTCTAATATAAGCAGTTATGGGCTTTATGTTTATGCAATGTGTTTAAGCGCTTTGAGCACCAGGAAAAGCGCTTTATAAATGTAATGTATTATTATATCCAACTCAGGGCTGCAAAGAAAAATAATTGTGTCAACTATTAAATACATTTAAATAACTTAAAGGTCCCCTATTATACTGTTTTTCATCAATATATCACAGGTCTCAGAGATATACAAAACATGTCTCTGATTGGCTGAAACACCAAACAGATCATTGTAGCATTACCCATAATCCCCTCTGTTTCAGCCCTGTTTCCAAAGAGTTGATTCTCTGTCTGTTACTTTAGATGAAAATAAGGAGCCCCTCCCCACGCCCCTCTGAGAGACATTTGGTTACAAAGAACTCAATGGAGCTCTAGGAGGAGATTCAGGTGATAAGGTGGGGGGGGGGGGTTACCTTGGTTGCTGATTGGCTAATGGTTACACAAGACAAAACATCGTTATGACATCATAAAGTGGCCAAAATCTGATCAGCTCATTTTCAGACAGGTTTTTATAGAAATTGATCAAAAAGAGAGAGAATCTTTGTTCCTGAAACTTTCAGAGTCTCTTTCCACAGAGGGGACACATGTTGATGTAGAAGAGACATGAAGAAGAGGGGACACATGTTGATGTAGAAGAGACATGAAGAAGAGGGGACACATGTTGATGTAGAAGAGACATGAAGAAGAGAGGACACATGCTGATGTAGAAGAGACATGGAGAAGAGGGGACACATGTTGATGTAGAAGAGACATGAAGAAGAGGGGACACATGTTGATGAAGAAGAGACATGAAGAAGAGGGGACACATGTTGATGTAGAAGAGACATTGAGAAGAGGGGACACATGTTGATGTAGAAGAGACATGAAGAAGAGGGGACACATGTTGATGTAGAAGAGACAATAAGAGAGGGGACACATGTTGATGTAGAAGAGACATGAAGAAGAGGAGAACACTGTTGATGGTAGAAGAGACATGGAAGAAGAGGGGGACACATGTTGATGTAGAAGAGACCATGAAGAAGAGGGGGACACATGTTGATGTAGAAGAGACATGAAGAAGAGGGGACACATGTTGATGTAGAAGAGACATGAAGAAGAGGGGACACATGTTGATGTAGAAGAGACATGAAGAAGAGGGGACACATGTTGATGTAGAAGAGACATGAAGAAGAGGGGACACATGTTGATGTAGAAGAGACATGAAGAAGAGGGGACACATGTTGATGTAGAGAGACATGAAGAAGAGGGGACACATGTTGATGTAGAAGAGACATGAGAAGAGGGCACATGTTGATGAAGAAGAGGGGACACATGTTGATGTAGAAGAGACATGAAGAAGAGGGGACACATGTTGATGTAGAAGAGACATGAAGAAGAGGGGACACATGTTGATGTAGAAAGAGACATGAAGAAGAGGGGACACATGTTGATGTAGAGAGACATGAAGAAGAGGGGACACATGTTGATGTAGAAGAGACATGAAGGAAGAGGGGACACATGTTGATGTAGAAGGAACTGAAGAAGAAGGGGACACATGTTGATGTAGAAGAGACATGAAGAAGAGGGGACACATGTTGATGTAGAAGAGACATGAAGAAGAGGGGACACATGTTGATGTAGAAGAGACATGAAGAAGAGGGGACACATGTTGATTAGAAGAGACTGAAGAAGAGGGGACACATGTTGATGTAGAAGAGCATGGAAGAAGGAGGGACACATGTTGATGTAGAAGAGACATGGAGAAGAGGGGGACACATGTTGATGTAGAAGAGACATGAAGAAGAGGGGACACATGTTGATGTAGAAGAGACATGAAGAGAGGGGACACATTTTATGTAGAAGAGACATGAAGAAGAGGGGACACATGTTGATGTAGAAGAGACATGAAGAAGAGGGGACACATGTTTGATGTAGCAAGAGGACATGGAGAAGAGAGGACACATGCTTGATGTAGAAGAGACATGGGAGAAGAGTGGAACACATGGTGATAAGAGAGAAGATGACATGAAGAAGAGGGGACACATGTTGATGTAGGGGACACATGTTGATGTAGAAGAGACATGAAGAAGAGGGGACACATGTTGATGTAGAAGAGACATGAAGAAGAGGGGACACATGTTGATGTAGAAGAGACATGAAGAAGAGGGGACACATGTTGATGTAGAAGAGACATGGAAGAAGAGGGGACACATGGTGATGTAGAAGAGACATGAAGAAGAGGGGACACATGTTGATGTAGAAGAGACATGAAGAAGAGGGGACCACATGTTGATGTAGAAGAGGGGACACATGTTTGATGTAGAAGAGACATGAAGAAGAGGGGACACATGTTTGATGTAGAAGAGACATGAAGAAGAGGGGACACATGGTGATGTAGAAGAGACATGAAGAAGAGGAGACACATGTTGATGTAGAAGAGACATGGAGAAGAGGGGACACATGTTGATTGTAGAAGAGGACATGAAGAAGAGGGGGACACATGTTGATGTAGAAGAGACATGAAGAAGAGGGGACACATGTTAATGTAGAAGAGACATGAAGAAGAGGGGACACATGTTGATGTAGAAGAGACATGAAGAAGAGGGGACACATGTTGATGTAGAAGAGACATGAAGAAGAGGGGACACATGTTGATGTAGAAGAGACATGGAGAAGAGGGGACACATGTTGATGTAGAGGAGACATGAAGAAGAGGGGACACATGTTGATGTAGAAGAGACATGAAGAAGAGGGGACACATGTTGATGTAGAAGAGACATGAGAAGAGGGGACACATGTTGATGTAGAAGAGACATGAAGAAGAGGGGGACACATGTTGATGTAGAAGAGACATGAAGAAGAGGGGACACATGTTAATGTAGAAGAGACATGAAGAAGAGGGGACACATGTTGATGTAGAAGAGACATGAAGAAGAGGGGACACATGTTGATGTAGAAGAGACATGAAGAAGAGGGGGACACATGTTGATGTAGAAGAGACATGGAGAAGAGGGGACACATGTTGATGTAGAGGAGACATGAAGAAGAGGGGACACATGTTGATGTAGAAGAGACATGAAGAAGAGGTGACACATGTTGATGAAGAAGAGGGGACACATGTTGATGTAGAAGAGACATGAAGAAGAGGGGACACATGTTGATGTAGAAGAGACATGAAGAAGAGGGGACACATGTTGATGAAGAAGAGACATGAAGAAGAGGGGACACATGTTGATGTAGAAGAGACATGAAGAAGAGGGGACACATGTTGATGAAGAAGAGACATGAAGAAGAGGGGACACATGTTGATGTAGAAGAGACATGAAGAAGAGAGGACACATGTTGATGTAGGAGAGACATGAAGAAGAGGGGACACATGCTGATGTAGAAGAGACATGAAGAAGAGGGGACACATGTTGATGTAGAAGAGACATGAAGAAGAGGGGACACATGTTGAAGTAGAAGAGACATGAAGAAGAGGGGACACATGTTGATGTAGAAGAGACATGAAGAAGAGGGGACACATGTTGATGTAGAAGAGACATGAGAAGAGGGGACACATGTTGATGTAGAAGAGACATGGAGAAGAGGGGACACATGTTGATGTAGAAGAGACATGAAGAAGAGGGGACACATGTTGATGTAGAAGAGACATGAAGAAGAGGGGGACACATGTTAATGTAGAAGAGACATGAAGAAGAGGGGACACATGTTGATGTAGAAGAGACATGAAGAAGAGGGGACACATGTTGATGTAGAAGAGACATGGAGAAGAGGGGACACATGTTGATGTAGAAGAGACATGGAGAAGAGGGGACACATGTTGATGTAGAAGAGACATGAAGAAGAGGGGACACATGTTGATGTAGAAGAGACATGAAGAAGAGGGGGACCACATGTTGATGTAGAAGAGACATGAAGAAGAGGGGACACATGTTGATGTAGAAGAGACATGGAGAAGAGGGGACACATGTTGATGTAGAAGAGACATGGAGAAGAGGGGACACATGTTAATGTAGAAGAGACATGAAGAAGAGGGGACACATGTTGATGTAGAAGAGACATGAAGAAGAGGGGACACATGTTGATGTAGAAGAGACATGGAGAAGAGGGGACACATGTTGATGTAGAAGAGACATGGAGAAGAGGGGACACATGTTGATGTAGAAGAGACATGAAGAAGAGGGGACACATGTTGATGAAGAAGAGGGGACACATGTTGATGTAGGAGAGACATGAAGAAGAGGGGACACATGCTGATGTAGAAGAGACATGAAGAAGAGGGGACACATGTTGATGTAGGAGAGACATGAAGAA